TATCATCTATCTATCTATCTATCTATCTATCTATCTATCTATCTATCTATCTATCTATCTATCATCTATCTCCATCTATCTATCTATCTATCTATCTATCTATCTATCTATCTATCTATCTATCTATCTATCTATCTATCTATCTATCTATCTATCTATCTATCTATCATCTATCTATCTCTATCTATTTATCTATCTATCTATCTATCTATCTATCCTTTTATGACAGCCAGTTTGATCTAGTGGATAAAGTGTTGACCTATAAACTGGGAAACTATATCTCCTAGTCCAATGGTGGCTAACCTTTTTTGGCTCCTGTGCCTCCCCATGCCCCCTGTGCATACACGTGCGATCCCCCTTACCACCGCCCACTTACCTGCACTGTGTGCCTCCCAGCTGACATTGAAAAAGCAGGAAACAATTTTCAAATGCTGCACACTGGAGTGCAGTGCTTGTCAGCTGTCCATGCAGCACAGCTGATGATTTCTTGCAAACGCTGCACACACAATTGTCCCCAGTTTGGAGAACCGGCAAATTGCTCTACTGGCTGGCCCCTCCCCTCCCCCTCACTCCTTATCTGGCATGCGAGCCATCCAACTTGCCTGGTTTGGTAAGTTGCTATTTTTCCTCCCCCTGCCCCCGACCATTTGCTGTTCTGCTCTGCCAGGAGATTTAGATTAGCTAGAAAGCAGGAAATCCTTGGATTTCTTGCCTTCTAGCTAATCTAAAAGTAGAGTCGAACCTTCCTTAGGACTGAAGCTTTTGAGTGCAGACTCAAGTAGCCGATTGCAGATAGATAGATCTCTAAATTAATCTGTGATTCTGTGAGAAACTAAAACTGCCTGCCTGCTTTGGGGTAAAAGATTTTTTTAAATTATAAAAAAATCAATATTTACATACATGGTGTGTTGTGAGTTAATTTTGTGAGTTTTCTTGCTAGCAAATTTTATGATTTTGCTTGCAAGCAAATTTTATGTGACAGACTCAGATAGCTGATTGCAGATAGATAGATCTCTGAGTTAATCTGTGATTCTGTGAGCAACTCAATCTGCCTACCTGCTTTGCCTGCTTTGGGGTAAAAGTTGCTCTTTTTTAATAAAAAAATTCAATATTTACATACATGGTGTGTTGAGAGTTATAATATTTACATGCAAGCCATGCCCACCCAGTCACATGAACACCAAGCCACATCCACAAATTAGGTCACACCCACAGAACCAGTTTTTAAAAATTTGAATCCCACCCCTGCTCGTGTCCACACAAATGGCTCTGCATGCCACCTGTGGCACACATGCCATAGATTCACCATCACAATCCTAGTCCCACCTTAGGTTGGACAACCAACTGGATGTCTTTGGCCACTATTCTTTCTCAGTCCAACCATCTCACAGGATTGTTGTTGTGGAAAAAAATAAGTGGGAGGAGCATTAAATACATTTGCCACCTTGAGCAGACAAAGTAATCTCTCAAGATAAAATCTGATAGTAATATTATGTTTATTCATCATCATCATTTTAGCCATTGTCTATCTACTGCAGATGAAGACTTCTTCCACATGCTTCCAACCAATATGGTTCTGAACTTTCTTTTGCCAACTAGGCCTGCAGTACTTGCTGATGTCGTAGATCCATCTTATTTTGGGTCTCTCTCATGGATGCTTTTAATCAAGTGGGATCCATTCTATGACTGTCTTGGTCTACCTGCCATCAGTTCTTCTTGCTTTGTGACCAGTCCATTTCCATTGCAATTTTACTTTCTTGATGATATTGTATATTTTTGTTTGTTCTCTCATCCATGTGCAGATCTTTGAATCTTATCTTGTGATGCTAGGCATGTATCTTTCCAAGATTCTTTGCACCATTCGTAGCTTGTGTATCAATTGTGAGGTTAGTGTCCATGTTTCACTGCCATATGTTAGAACAGGTAGCACACACTGATGGAAAACTTTTATCTTCAGGCATAGGGGAAGGTTTTTTTGAAAATTATGCTTACCTTGCCAAATGCTTGCCAACCACATTTAATACGCCATTCAGTTTCCTTTATTGTATCACTTTCCATTGAGATCTGTTGGCCAAGGTATGTATCAATTGCTGTGCTTATATGCTAGCGCATAAACATATGCAAAGTTAAATGTATATATACAAAATTAAAGATGCATACATGCACAAAATAAAAATCTGTTTCCCTTCTGTTTGTCTGTCATATCTTAATTCTGTAATAGTTGTAAGACTTGTCTAAATTATAAAATGTTGCTTGTTCAAAACAGATTTTTTTAAAAAAAAAATTACCATTTTTTCCACCCTCAGTTACCTACCTTTCCACTGTTTCTTCTTTCTTCTTAGTAAGTCCAGCTATGTGTCATTTCATCATTTCTTACCAATTGTTGAAGCTGTGAAGGGATAAAACTTTTTCACCTCGAATGATAGAGGGCAAATCCCTTTTTCCATGGATAAAGGGGAGTGAATCCCTAATACTTTAAATATTTGCAGAACTGATTAAATGATACATTCATGGACTTATTTTTGAAAGAAAAAAAAACTTAACCTAGTGGAAAATTAGATAGCTTGGGGAAAGAAAAACAGCGATTAAAAAGAAACCCAAATCAATAAACCCTTCTGCCAAGTTTTGATTCAGCAAAATCTCAGCTGTAGAAGATCTTAGAGAGTGACTCAGCTAAAGAGGTGTTCCTGCCTCTTTGAAGGAGTCAAAACTAACAGGCATAAGAAACAGGGAAAGAGTACAGGTAGCCTTCAACTTACAACAGTTCATTTAGTGATCATTCAAAGTTACAATGGCACTGACCAAAGTGACATGATTATTTTTCACATTTATGAGCTTTCCCATGGTCAAGTGATTTACATTCAGAAGATTGGCAACTGCTTCATATTTATGATGGTTGTATTTTCCCAGGGACATGTGATCACCTTTTGTAACCATCTGACAATCAAAGTCAACAGGGAATCCAAATTCACTTAACAATCGTGTTACTCATTTTAACAACCGCAGTGATTCACTTAACAAATTGTGGCAAGAAAATGGGACAAAACATACTTAATAAATTTCTCACACAACAACATAAATTCTTGGCTCAATTGTGGTCTTAAGTCAAGGACTATCCATATGTGAAAAGTGGAACAAGAAAACATGCCCAGACATGCATGTTTCATGATCATAAGAGGTGAGTACAGAATGACCTCATCTATTCCTGCCATCGCAAAATGGCTATTGATCCACATTGGCAACAGAACAATTCAACAGCACGGAGAGTCCCTGTATTCCTATATTTTATGGATAATTTACTTTTGCCCAGTCTGGTGTCCTTGAGGGGTGCTGGGTGCTGAATATCCTAGGAGACTGCAAAAAAAAAAAACAAAAAAAAAAAACCCAACAACAACCCAGTTATACTTCAATTTTATTTTACTGCTCTTATCTGTATCGATTCCTCTGGCATGCATTTTTCTCTCGAGGTGTGAAAAACTGAAAATTGCTCACCGATATTTTTAAAGAAGAGTACAGAAAAATTGTATAACATGAGATCATTTTGTTGGAAGCTGAAATCAGTTGGTGATACACTAGATTTTGTTTAAAAAAATACTGGTGAAGATTGTTAGCCCATGTAAAGGATATTTTATATATTAAACAATATATCTAAGTTTAGCCAGAGAGAATCAATTCAAAGATCTCACTCTATTTTCTATTTATTTCAACTTTCACAGTTTTTGATTGAAAGCTGCAAAGTTATTGCTGAATGTTGCTGTTCATCAGACACCTATCTTTCAGACTTTAAAAATCTATGCTACTCTATTTCAGCCAAGATAAGAAAGCACTTTATAACTTCTTAAGTATTCACATATGTATAAGGATTAGAATATTTTAATAAAACTTATCTAGGGTTGACCTGAAGCCTGATCAGGGCATGGTTGAATCTTTTATAAATCATTTAAAAAGAAGCAGTATTTTGCCATAAGAAAATAGATGTCCTTCTTAAGATTTTTTTTTAAAAAAATAGTATTATTAATGAAGGATACTTTACTTCTTACTGTTCTAATTGATATTAGATATATTTGCTCATCCATAGACTGTAAATACAGTCTGTAATAAAAGCAATACTTGGTAAAGTGTACAATAGTTTCTTAAAGATAAACTTTTGGTAAGATCTTTAACAAATGTTTTCATGCACAAAAATCCACTAGAATTTAATATCCTTTTTCCAGTTTTCTTTCCTTTAAAAAAATATATATTCTTTTATTGCTTTAAAATGTCAGAAAAATATCTCAAAACAAAAATCTCAAAATAAAAATACAGATAGTCCTTGACTTACAACAGTTCATTTAGTAACCATTCAAAGTTACAACATCACTGAAAAAAATGTCAATCACTTTTCACACTTACAACAGTTTCAGCATTCCCATGGTCACATGATTTATATTTGGATGCTTGACAACTGACTCATATTTGTGACAGTTACAGTGTCCTGAATTAATGTGATCATCTTTTGCATCTTCTGACAAACACCCCTTAACATCCATGTTACTAATTTAACATCTGCAGTGATTCACTTAACAAACGTGAAAGTTTGTTAAGTGAAAGAAATGTTATAAAATGGGGCAATTCTGGAGGGCGGAGCAATTCTCACTTGACAAATTTCTCATTAGCAACATAAAAATCCTGGGCTCAATTGTGGTCATAAGTTGAGGACTAACTCTACATACATTATCAAAGAAAAGGGGAAAAACACCTAGAAAGTGCTGTATGCAATATATAAGTAGTATCATATATTATGGTTTTCTTCTTTTTCCTTGGTTGTATTTTTTAAAAAGCACATTTCATTTTTCTTTCTGTTGGCTCATAAGGATGATTGCTAGTGGGTTTCCTAAAACAAAAACAAAAAACAAAAACCAACAGACACAAAAATACACAATAATTAGTTTTAAGCCAAAAATATTATAGAATAGAATTAGAATAGAATAGAATAGAACAGAATAGAATAGAGTAGAATTCTTTATTGACCAAGTGTGATTGGACACACACACTTCAGTGCATAAGCTCTCAGTGTACATAAAAACTATAAGTGATAAATCATGATCATAGTCATCATAAAAATACATTCATCGTGAATCATAAGATACAACAATTGGTGATAGTCATAGGATACTAAATAAGCAATCAACATAAATCATACTAGGAAACTAAAAAAAACCAATATAAATTGTAAAGATACAAGCAACAAACTTACACTTATATATAGAAAATAGAAAGGATGAGACAAATAATAGTAATACAGTCTTACTAAATAGTTTGGCAGTTGTGGGAACTGTTATTTAGCAGAGTGATGGCATGGGGGAGAAACTATCCTTGTGTCTAGTTGTTGTGGTGTGCAGTACCCTATAGCATCATTTTGAGGATAGAACTTGAAACAATTTATCTCCAGGATGTGAGGGGTCTGTAGATATTTTCACAGCCCTCTTTTTGACTCATGCAGCATACAGGTCCTCAATGGAAGGCAGGTTGGTATACAATTAGTTCTCAGTTAATGGTCAACATTGGGACCAGAATTTTGGTTTCTAAGTGATATGATATTAAAATGAAATATCACAATATGCATACAATATAATGCAATTTGTAGAAAAAATTAAATTTCATTAAATTGTAAAATAAAATAAAATAAAAAACTAGAAACTCAATGGGGATTGAAAAACCCAGATCTGTGTTTAAAAACTCAGTACCAGCAATCTTACTCAGAAAGCATGTTGTTATTTCAGGGCAAAACACAAAAAACTATTAAGTGAAAAGTTGCTGAAAGGTAAATGGTGATAATTTGCCCTTCACTGTTGTGCTGTAATATGATTAAATTCAGATTTGCATCAGAATTAATGCCTGCTGGCAACACTTTTCTGCATTGTTACCACCATCAATTTGATGAAAGAGAATTTGCTTTTGAAATGGCTTCAAAGGAAGAGAGGATTTTGGGGATGTTCTTATAGGGGCCGTGTCCCCAGTGCCAAGGGACATGTATGGGAGTCCTGACTTTCATTCTGTAATCCTCTCTCCAGCAGTGTGCAGCTTCCTTGGCTTCCCACTTTTCAATAAAATCCCCCAATCATAAGGACACTCTTCCCACGTTGCTTCTTTCAGATGTTATAGTTGTTGCTGCAATGAGTCATTGGCTTGAACATCAACACTAAGAAAACTAAGATCATAGCATCCGGTCCCATCACTTCCTGGCAAATAGAAGGGTAAACTATGGAAGCAGTGGTATATTTTATTTTCTACAGCTCCAAGATCACTCCAGACGGTTACTGCAGCCATGAAATTAAATGATGCTTGTTTTCTAGGAGGAAAGCCATGACAAACCTTGACAGCAAATGAAAAAGCAGAGGAATCACCTTGGTGAAAAATATTCCTATAGTCAAAGCTATGGTTTTCCCAGTAGTAATATATGGCAGTGAGAGCTGGACAATAAGGAAGGTTGAGCACTGAAGACTTGATGCTTTTGAATTATGGGGTTGGAGAAGTCCCTTAGACTGCAAGGAGATGAAATCAGTCAACCCTGATTGTTCTGTAGAAGGACAGCTACTGAACCTGAAGCTCAAATGCTTTGGACATCAAATGAGATGAGAGGACTCTTTGGAAAAGATCCTGATGTTGGGAAAGATTGAAGGCAAAAGGAGAAGGGGACAGCAGAGGATGAGATGGTTAGATAACATCATCAATGCAATAGGAATGAGTTTGGGCAGGCTCAAGGAGACAGTGAAGGACAGAAAGGTCTAGCATGCCATGGTCCATGGGGTCACGAAGAGTCAGACTTAGAGAATGAACAACAACAACAACAGACATGGTCTTCCAGAAGCTGTTTGAGAACTAAAGAGCACTTGCTGGTTCAGATTCTCTGCTGATATGCAACTTGGTGGTGAGCTTTAAAAGGATCTTCATACCCACAGCCCAGTAAGAAAAGTATATGGATAACTGTTTTTTCCTCCAGTGGATCAGTCTATCAGGGCAACCTGGTCTACCCAATTATGGGATGGAGCATACTGCTTCTGTTTTTGCCTTTGCAGGCAGTCGCTTTTGTGACAAACTATTAAATTTACAGAAAAAGTATGCTCCATCCCATAATTGGGTACACCAGGTTGCCCTGATAGACCAGTCCCACTGGAGAGAAAAAATACATCTATGTAAGCAGCCTGGGTTCGAATCCCATAAGGGTATGGCTAGCTGATGAGAGCTAAATAGCTTGAAATAGACCTATGTGAGTCTCCCTTTATTTCTTTGTGGTAAAACATAAATTTAACACAAAATATATGGGTAGTTGTTGATTTATAATTGGTTGCTTGATCATTCAAAGTTACAATGGAACACACACCCCCACCCCCGAGGAAACTTACAACTCACTTCTGAAGTTTTAACAGACACTTGCATTTCAGGTGCTCAGCAAGCAACATATATTTATTTATAGTCATTTACAGTATCCTATGATCACATGACCCTAATTTACGAAGCTTTTGCTGAAAACTGTCATTTATTTCTGGTTTTCAGCAACTTAGAAGAATTAGAATAACTTACTTTGAATTACACTTTGAACGTACACAAATCAGCATACATTAAAATGAAATTTTAATACTTCATAGTAAACAATTACCATGGATCCACATAACAACCATGGTGATATATTTAATGATTGCTGCAAAAAAAGGCATAAAATTGGCTCAGTCACATGATGAGCCTTTTTACAATCACCATGACTTACAACCATAACAGGTAGGCTCTATTATAGTCGTAAGTCGAAGATTACCTGTATTTTCATTCTCACTGCTATTTCAGTACAAATGGGGCACCACTCCTGTAATATAAATGCTACCAAGTTTGGTTTGTGATTACCATAACTCTCTTCTTTCTAGGCAGAATATTAACAGATGTTCCTTGACTTACAACAGTTTGTTTAGTGACTGTCCAAAGTTACAACAGAATAGGAAAAAGTGCTTTAGGGCTATTTTTCATACTTTTGACCACTGCAGCATTCCTATTGTCATGTGATCAAAATTTGAATGCTTGGCAAATTTACAACCATGTTATTAACTGAACAACTGCAATGATTCACTTAACAATTCTGGCAAGAAAAATCATAAAATGGGGCACACTCACTTAACAAACATTTAGCTTAGTGACATAAATTTTGGGCTCAATTGTAGTCATAAGTCAAGCACTAACTGTTAAAAGTTGAGTCATGGCAACTGGAAATTATTTTCTCATTGTTTTGAGACATTTTGTTGCCCATTTGAGCAGCTTTTTCAGTTTGAACAAGTTGATTACAGGAATTTGAGCAGGCAGAGACTCATTACAATGTGCCAATTGCTATTTTTTTGGGGGGGTGGGGTGGGTTATTCCCACACCAACATCATGGTTTCTTCCCCAAAGTGTATGGCAATATGTTGATGAACAGTAGTCTTAACTTGTTGGCCAGTATTGCCATTTCTTTTGTATCAATCATTATGAAAGTGTGTAATTCCCAAAGTTAACATTTGACACACCTTAAAGATTCCTGGAAAGCAATGGCCTCATTAATTGGAGTGCCAGAAAATATAGCTGCGGATTTACCATTTGTGACAACAAGAAAAATAGGAGCTCCAAATCTTAAGTGGAAGATTTTTTAGTGTAGTAATCCTTCAGAAGATTGCCCTAATTTAATTCCACCCACCGGAAGATTAACAGGAGAATTTTTCTCTTTCTACCATTATATTCTTAATGAATCTAGGAAAAATCTCCCATTTGAAAAGTAAATTATTGGGATGGGGGTGGATTTAAGTAAATGCCATCTATCTATAAGATCTTAAAAGGGGGAAGGGGTGATCAGTTTCTTACTATAAAACCGTGTTTCTCTCTTTAATAATTAATCTACTTGTGACTGGCTATACCAGATTGCCTGCAAGAAAATAGCAATTTCAATCTATATTCTGCTTTTAGGGCAATTCTGAGCATGTGATTAGTTGAATTCTTGTCTGAACATGTGGTTCTGCTTGATAATCGAGTGACACTCTTTGGCCTGGAGATATCTTGCTGAAATACCATTTTGGAGTCATGCGGGCTCCAGTCAGCATTAAAGATTAACCACATTGTTATCTAAGATGGAGGACCCTGATGAACTTGTCTCCCGCCTTGTTGTGAAATGGGATGGGATGTGGGTTTGGGCTGGAATCTAATTGGGAAGCAATTAAAGTTTCTAATCCCCTTGCATACATCCTCAGAGAAGGTCAAAGGGTAGCCTCCTATTCACCTAGAAAATATTTCTAACTAGTCAGTAACTATATTGGTTAAATAGTTTAAGAAATATTAATTCACTTGTTTGTTTTCTTTTCTTTTTTTTAAAATGCACATTTTCCCCAAGTGAAAACAACAAAGAAAGAGGAACATGATCACTATGTTGAATGAGCCCCTAGAACTCTCCTGAAAATTGCCACAAAACTGTAACTTTAATCAGAAGGGAAACATTTTTAGATAGATGGGGAATAAACATATTAACGAAACTAGAAGGAACAATCTTCATGCCTTTTCACTAGTTTATCAATGGAACAATTCTAGAAATGTAAGAAATAGAAATAGCCCTTCTCTTCCCAAGGTTAAAAAAATGGAATCCCTGTAGATTTTACTCCACTACCCGTTGCTGACTATGGGGGGGGGGGGGGTTGGTCATCTTTGTTTCAAGGCCATTGAACCCACGCTGTCTGAAGAAATTTCTGCAGTCATGCGGCTAGCATGACGTCACAGAGTGTTGTTACCTTCCTACCAAAGTGGTACCTCTTTATCTACTCGCATTTGCTCGTTTTCGCATTGCTAGGTTGGCAGGAGCTGAGGTGAGGATGTGGGTGTGGCTTGGTGGGCAAGGCTTGGTGGGCATGGCAGGGGAAGGATACTATAAAATCCCCATTCCCTCCCCACTCCTGGGGGAAGATCACTGCAAAGTCCCATTCCCTCCCCATCCCACTAACCTGCTTTCCAGCTCCTGTGCAGGGCAACAAAAGAATACCCAGCCAATCAGCTGGGATTTGGGAGGCAGAGAATAGATGGAGGCAGGGCCAGTCAGAGATGGTATTTGCTGGTTCTCCAAACTACTCAAAATTTCCACTACCTATTCTCTGGAACTGGTCAATACCTGCTGAATGCCACCTCTAGAGTACTTCCCAGTAAAGTCAGTAATGACCAGCCGAGAAAAATCTTCAGGGACTCCCTTACTTTTATCTATCATTTATCTTTCTCACTATTGAGGGACTCTGGGCAGTTTATACCACCATTGAAAACAAGAATATACCATAATTAAAATGTTAAAAGTATTACAATTAACAAAAACTGGGTAAAACTAGGACCCCGTACATGAGCAGAATGGAGGTGGGATTTTCTTAGCCACATCCAGTATGGAACACCCCCATTGGGACCTCAGTCCAATTGGCAGAACCAGGTTTTGGGCCTTTTCATAAAGTCAAGAAAGTGGGGGAAGATCTCAACTTGGGCAATATCTTGAGGTTCCAGAAGGTGGGAGCCATGGAAGAAAAGGTTCTTCTCCCTGACCCCAGCTACTGAAGTTTTTGACCAATGGGATCCACAGCATGCACTTTCTGGTGGAGAGAGTGGGGGAGGGCCAATACTGTTGGGGTAAAATGGTTCCTCATGTACTCATGTCATGAAGGGCTGCTCCTGATGATGTCATAATTCTGCGCCAGAGTCTCAATAATGACTGTTCTCAACAGCCATGTCACTTTTGGTAGTGATGGCCATCTCCCTAATGGATATAGATACATAAAGGAAATACACATTATTGCTGCTTTTTGGTGATGAAAGATGAAATATTCCCCCCTCTGAACTGCCATTCCATAGTGGCTCTCCTAACAAATTGGCTGTGCTGCCAGGACTACCCTTTTGTCCTGACAGTATCTCCTCTTCTCCAACCCTGCTTGGCTCATCTGTCACTTAATAAATCCCACAGGGGATGCAGTCTCTCTTTGATCAGAGTGGTTAGAGATAAACTGTAATTCCATTTTTACCACCAGCGTTCTCTACAATTAAAAAAGCATTCTTCCTTGCCCATTTCACTTTTCAAAGTGATGGGCATTAGCTAGATATCTTTATCTCTCTTTTTCTATCTATCTGACAGATTCTAATTATCTTCCAGGAGGGTGTAAATATTCCCTGGAATATTGCATGCCTGTTTTTCACTGAATGAAATATAGATTGAGAAGGTTTATTTGCTAAAAATTAGGACACTGTAATCATTTAAATTATGTGATCCATATCTTGCTTTAATGCATCTTTAGGGATTGTTACATAGCTAAATCTGAAATACGACTTTTCATTTTTTAAAAAGGAATGTGTTTTTTTTAAACTTTACTAATATTTTATATCTTTTAAAAACAAACAAAGCTTATACACATCTTGACATTGACAGTTTGTGACATTCATCTCCCATACTTCTATTTTGTGCATTATAGCCAGGGCACAAAATATTGGACATAGCATAAATTTGATAAAATGGAGAGGCATTTGGAGTCAAAATTATAAATTAACAAAATCGGCTGTATACAAAGAGAATATTTATAAGATGTTCTATAGATGGTACCTGTCCCCCTCAAGATTGGCGAAGATATACCACAACATGAATCTGGCTTGTTGGAAGTGCAAGAAGAAAGAAGGTGCATTTTATCACATGTG